TTTATATAAGTTGTTCTTAAAAAAAACTGAAGAGAAAAATTTAAATGATAATTCTAGTTTATTCAACTACCTAGTTATATGAACATTAAGGATTAAGTAGAAATTTCCCAGACAATTCTTTCTTTTTAAAAAAAATATTAATAATAATAATGTTAATTATAATCATTGCATTCCATTTTTGAATTAAATCTAAAATAAAACAAAATAAAAATATTTAAATTATTATTTTTATTATTACTTTATTACTTTAAATTGTCTGTCAAAATCTGCTTACTGCATGATTTTGTATTCAACAATCAAATATACTTTTAAAAAAAAAAGAAAGTAAGAAAGAAAACGTTGATTTTCGTCGCGTTCATCGGCCTCATTATCGTTGAAGAACAAAAGAACGACGTTGAATTATAGTATTCATAATTGAAATAATTCCTTTCAATTAGAGAACACTAATCCAAAAAAAGTACTAAAATGTGCGAAACGTTTTTTTGATGTTTACTCGTGTGCGCAATACTTAAAAAGTTTAAAAACCTTTTATGGCATGTCTATTTAGAAAGAATTTTTCAAAAAAAATAACAGATGGCAGCACTACAGGTTACAATGTAAAGAATTTATTCAAACTTTAAAAAAAATAATGTTAAATAATGTTTAAAAAAAAAAAAAAAAAAAAAAACGATTTTTGGCCAAGACGAGCATAGACCACCATCTTTTTGAGAAATACGTCTTTTTGGGTTGTTTTTTTTTTAGAATGAAATTTTAATTATTAAATTAAATAAGGTACTTTAAATGATCTGATGTGTTAACATAATTCTATACAAGCTGTATTTATGTTTCAAGTAATTTAGTTAAAATTAATAAGCATGAAATATATGCGAAAATAAAGAGTATTGTATTTTTACATAATAAGTGCAATTTTTTTCTGGCTCCAACTGTTATATGTCTGTGATTTAAGGTAATAATTTACGGGCAAAAACTATTCTAATTTTTTCCCTAAAAATTGTTAAATTTTTTTCATAAGGAAATATGACCAAGTTTGATAGAATTGTGTTTTTTTTTTCTTAAAAATTTTTATAATTTTTTCCCCTAAATGCTTGCCCGCAACCGCGGAGAAGTCATAGACTCTAGAAAATAGAACAATGACAGGCACTTTAAATTTCTTTTCTCGTTCATGTATTCTAAATATTTAAGACTATTTCGTTTAAAAAAATGAGTCAAATTACAGATATTTTATTTCGTTCCTTTTCTTTTTTCTGTACTTTCATTTATACTTTTAAATAGCAAGAAAAAAGGTCATGATAATCTAATAAAAGCTTCTGTCATTATTTCTTTCACATTTTAAACTACTTATAGTGAACGTAAATAAGAATAATTATGTTAATGTCCTGATAAGAATAATGTTAATCTCCTCAATTTTTAGGTGAATTGAATCATTGGCTTGAATTGGGCGAATCGGTTATAAAATTTCAAAAAAGCACTATTTTTAAATTTTCTTTTCTCCAGAGCTATGCGACCGATTTCATTAAAATTTTGCCCTTTGTCAATTAATATTACATACTTTAAAGGGTTTTAATTTTTATTTTATTTATTTATTTTGAGCAATGTACTTCATTTTTCGAGATATCTTTATCAGAGAAGTGAAAGGTTTGTGTACTTAACATTTATTATACCTTCTAAACCTTTATTCCTGTCCTCTTAAATTCGGTACTTAAATGTGTAATATTCCATAGACTATACTTCGTATACTATAAAAAGACACCCTTCTCTGCACGACTCACGTGTAACATTTGTGTTTTTGGCATCGTGTTGTTGATCAGAAAATGAATCTATGTGTAAATTCCAATTCAACAAATTCGTGATTTAGCATTGTAACAACCGTGAATTTACATAATCAAGGCCAGCGCTAAGCAATCGCCACCTCGCCAAATGCGATAAAATCTTAAATTTGGCGAAAAATTGTGTTTTCGTGTAAGTATTGGCGAATGATTTTTTCCACTGGAAGGAAAAATATATATTTAACTCGTTCCTCAAAATGATGTCAAAACGAATTTTTCTAAACAAATCAGTATTTTTAATTCGATTGCAGTATTTTTCCGTAGATGCGCCACATGACCAATAAGAATTTAGTCCAAATGACATAAGTCTGAAACAAATGACCGTAAAATAGTTTTCCATGGTATAAAGTCTAAAAATATAAGAAAGATAATTGGTTTGCAAAAGCATGAATAAAAGTAAAAATATTAAAAACTAACGGGCTGACAAAAGCATAAGTAAAATAAACACATAAAAAGATAAATTTAAATAATAAAAGCAAACGATAAAATTAGAACACCAGAAAGTTGTTGATTTTTTAGAATTAGTTTTGTGTGGAATTTGAGTTTTCATATATCCCGTTATGGGCACTTTATCTAGTTGTTTTATAATATTTTATCTATCCCGCTACGGATGAGTTTCCTTATATCCCGTTACGGGTTTTTCTTGTTGTTCTATGATCTTTTCACTATCCCGTTACGGGTAATTCATATTTGTTACTGTTTGTGTTGTCTGTTAATAAAAGTTTTTTTATAAAAAAACTGAACAGTTCTTTAATATAGCTTGATACGCTACAGCGGGAAAAAATTAATAATAAAAAATTTTTAAGATTTGCATTTGGTGAAGACTTTCGAAAATTGGCGAAAACTTTTGATATTTGGCTAATTTACTGGCTAATAGTTTGAAATCCTTAGCGGGAGTTTGATAATTTCAGACAACTTATCTCAATGCATAAAAAACTATGTTTTTTTTAAACTACAAATTTTGCAATTGCTGTTTTTCGAATTTTCATACCTACTTACAGAAAGTGAAAGTAAGTCCTTGAAAAATATTCTAAGAAAATAACCTTATTTTGATCACAAGACAGATGTAGGCAAATTACGTACTTTAGATCTAATAAATAAGCAATTTTTTCATTTCCTTTTTTTCCCCCGAAGTTTTACGTCGGATGTAAAAGACCAGTTTCTTCGTAATTTTTCCGAGGCTGCTTTTGTTTCGAAAGGAATTACTGAATTAATGCCAATTATCAATCTATGTAGGGAATAAATACATTAAAAAAATTAAATAACCGATAAACCTGTTTTGACAAAATAACTTATGCCGCCAACTCATTTTTGGGTGATTGATTTGTCTTTCTGTACAAGATAAAGAATGGATTGCAAACAAGATAAAGTACGTTTTTAAAAATGCATATCTTATTTACGAAATATTAACAAATAAATCAAATAATTCTTCATTTCACGAAGAAAGTTATTTTATAATAGTTCTAGTTACTAAGCAACGTCTTAATACTTGAAGTCATTCAAATATGGGGAAGTATACAACAAAAATTTAATGCGAAATATTATATATATTTTCCTAAATATAGCGTGACAACTGAACAAATAAGCTACAAAAAAAATCCAATAATTTTTTCTCCTTTAACTAGTTTGATAAGATGCTTATTTTTCTCGGTAAATACTTGATTACATCATCCCAAGTTTCTAACTAGAACAAAAACAAAATATCGATAGTAAGCTATTTTTTTAAGTTCAAGTTAAAAAAAAAACAGTTTAGTATGTTTAATATGTTTGATGTTTTAAAAAAACAGTTTAGTATGTTTAATATGTACGTATGTCAACAGTTTAATATGTTTGATTATGTTCATGAAAAAATAAGTTGCTAAACACTATAATTACGAAATTATTAAGGATATTACGTGAGATAATTATCTATATTTTAGTTTTTGGAATATAAGAATATGTTAACATAAATATGGTAGCTTTTTGTTAATTTGTTGTAAACATTATCACATCAAGAAATTAAATGGTAGTTTGTGTTGTTGCTTATCTTCTTTATCTGACATAAGCTCCAGGGCAACAAGAAAATCCTCAACAAAAAGGGGATTAGATGCAAGATCCACCTTAGAAAGTCCAAGACATACCAGAATATGTTCCGGCGAAGCTAGTTTCGGCGAGCACACAGCATTTTTAGCAATCAGGGAAGATTTCTCTGCCTCCCTCAAAATTAAGGCAAATTTGATGATGATTATGTAAGTTATTTGCAATTTTTTTCAATGCCTGAAGACATTTTTTAGTTGGACAATTTTGTGTGTATATACTATTGACCCAGTGTATGCTTTGTGTAAAATTTCGTACACATAGAACTTTATCACACCAGGTTTTATCGCCATGATCAGTGATATTTTATCGAAATGTATTTGTGGATCGGAAAATATTTAAAATAAACACGCAAGTATGCATCTTTGCGATTGCATAAAAAAATATGTTGAACTTATCGAAAGATATTATTGTGAGAATATATTTTTCGTTACGTTTTAATATTAAATTATTCGCTACTTCAGTATCAAATTAGTCGTTATTTTGAAGAATCAATTGGAAAATTATGTCTTCAAATATCAAGAATTACTTTCCTTCAAGAATACATTTTCTATTACTTTATTAAAACTATTCGTTACTTCAATATTAAGTTAATCGCCATTTCAAAGAATTCATTGGTGAACTTAAATGCTCATGTATATTTCATCAAAAATACTTTTTTCCGACTTATTCGTATTAAATTATTCGGTCCTTCGGTGATAATTTAATCATTATTTTGAAGAATCCATTGGTGAGCTTTCATGTTCGTAACTATTTCTTCAAGAATATAATTTTCTGACTTTATTCGTATTAAATTATTCGTTCCTTCTGTGATAATTTAATCGTTATTTTGAAGAATCCATTGGTGAGCTTATGTTCTCAAATATAACGAATTGTAATTCTTCAAGAAAGTATTTTCTTTTACTTTATTAGTATTTTTATTCGTTGCTAAATATATCGTCAATTTTCCTCATAAATTTAAAAATTATTATGACACACAGTGGAAAAAATTTGTATTATTTTAATTAAAAATATCCTCCAAAATATCTAATTATAATTATTATTCGTCTCAATCAGATATTTCCCTAACAGGCTTTTAACAGTTAAGCATTTTCTGACATGTCAACAGTTAAGCAAATAATATCATACCCAAGCTCATTACCAAAATTTAAAACATGCATACATGAGCTCATCGATGTTTACATCATTAAAGAGATCAAACCTGACGCTCGACCGGTACTGAGTGGATATGAAGGGGAATTGCTTCACTTGATTGCTGATGGCCTACATATATCTCTGGAATATTATGTTGATGAAATAGGATGGCCGACAACCCTCCCAGAAAATGCTTCACTACTTGACGGTTGCCTTGGTATGGTGACACGAGGAGAAGTAGACTTTACAGTATCCAGTATGAATCAAAATCATGAACTGTCAAAATACGCTGACACAAGTTTTCCATATTTATACCTAACTGTCCGTTTCATGACGAAACTGCCGGATTATGTTGAGAAGCATTTTGTTCTAATGGAACCGTTCCCACCATCAATGTGGATATCGGTTTTTCTCACCCTTTTATTAATAAGTTTGGCTTTTTATTTGATTCAGGGTAGGCGTTTAACTTACCCCGTCCAATTCTTCAAAAGATTTTCCGAAGTTGTGTCGCAAAGTATTCGGGATGGCACGAATTCCATTCCCGAGAGAATTTTGCGAGGGTTTTGGATTTTAGGGGCTTATTTCCTGACTCTCTTTTATATCGCTGTGATTTTGAATTTTATGATAGTGCCAAGACGTCAGCCTCCAATCGATAACAATGAAATTTTACTGGCTGCGGTAAAAAGAGGAGGTTATAAGGTAGGGACACCATTAGAGATAAAACAGATTCTTTTTTATATGGAAACCAGCACTAACCCAACAGTAAGAGAACTTGCACGGATTGTTGTTAGAAACGGATGGGAACTCAGCGTGACAAAGGACACTTTTGTAGAGCACCTTAAGAACAATTTTGCCCTAGCTACCACTGAACTTGGACTTCAGTTGTACAACCAACGTGGTTTTCCCGTCTCCATTTCGAAGGATGTTCTCTTCAAATGTAACCTCGCGGCTTTTATGTCGAAAAATTTTCCTTTAAAAAGAAAATTTAATGAGGTAGTTCTAAGAATATTCGAAACCGGTCTTTATTCGAAGACACTGGATCATTATGTTTTTCAGTTGCACTTGAAAGACGATGCATGTCAATGTGAGGAAGCTCGCATTAAAACATTAACTTTAGCAGATATGGAAGGAGCTTTTCTACTTTTTATCTATAGTACGTTAGTCTCTACGGGGGTTTTATTGATTGAAATTTTAGTGTCTAAATTAGAGTGGGAGAGAAAACATAAGCAAACGAAACTTGATCTTTAATACCTTATCAGTAACAAGCTTCCTAAAACCGAAAGAACTTTAGAAAACTTCCGGTGTATCCCTCCGCTTATGTTATGCTTACGAGGTGATCTGTGAACAGGCTTAATATTTTAGGAAACTTTATTAATGTGATTATGTTTAAATTTGCTAGTAATTTTACCATTCATAAGAGTCTCCTGTAATTTATAAATTCTGACTGGTTATGAGCTTAAAACAAATTTAAGAAAATAAAAGTCAGACCATGAATAAAGTGTAAGGTTTGACATGTTATGAGAGATATCCCTTATTTGGCTATATTAGTGTAAAATACCGCCCCAAGTAGCACATAATATTATATAACATCAGAAAATCGGTAACATCTAACGTTATCTTGCACAACTTCTAATATTAGAAAGATACAAAAAGTCGCTGTTTGCTCAGCCTTATATAATATTAGATTCTATACAAACTAATATTATCTAGCGTTCGCCATAATATTATTTTGCATTAGTTTTGATGCTATATAATATTTGAATTTTGAATTTTCTGATATTTTGCTTCGCTTTTTTTTTTTTCGGAGTAAGCAAGAGGAAGATCGCCGTTGATAATTTTTTGAGTAGCATCATAGCATGATTGCTGCATCTTCCAAACTCTTATGTTAGTTTTGTTGAAATTAAAATTTAAAAAACGCTCTATATTGTAGACACTAGGTACTAATATAATAATATTTGATGGAGCCATTTTTCAAGCTTAGGTGTAAAAATCAATCGAAAGTAGTAGCCCAGACGAATTTCAACCCCTAGCGCCATCTGTGTTTAGCTTTACACACCAACCATAGTTATCTACTTGTAAAATTAATGTTAAAAATTGTAAGGATGGACTTGAATTTTTTATTTTTTAAGGTAAACAACAAAAAAGATAATTTTCAGACTTAAGAGATATTCCAAAAATAAAATTTTCTGTCTGAACTGTAGAGCGAGAAATAATCTTTCATCTAATCATGGATTATCTTTAATATCAACAACAGTTCTTTCCATAGAATAAATTTAAGCACTGTGGCGATTAATATTAACGACTGTTGAAATCTATATTAACTACCGTGAAAATAAATATTAACTTCTATAATCTAACAAAAAAGTGCTTCTAAGGTATCCAGTGGAATATAAAAATAAACCTAAGTAGAAATATGTTTATTTTCAAAAAATAAACAACATATATAAATAATTAATTGATAATAGTAAATATTACGCTAAAATTGAACTAAATGTTACTGATATTCTAGTATTTGGCTATTAGAATGATTAAATATTTTTTATTCCACAGTGTCGAAATACCGAATTATCTTTGCTTTTAATGCTATACTGCCATAGATTTCAGTGGCGCTATCTGCGAGATAATTAATGAACTAGAAAAGTAGATAACCTGTTACATTACTGTTTCTTGTAATATTTTGTACATTGTCTCATAGTATTCTGTAAATAATGTTTCTTTCTTCATTAGTGTAGCTGTAGATATGTTGTATTTAATATTTAACACTGAATTAAAAAATACTCTGAAGTAATAAATCATTTGTTTAGGTGAAATGACATTTTTTAGCGTTATTTTTTTACATGGTATCTATTCGAAATTATTTGGTTTTAATTTATTTGTTCGTAAATAGTTTAGATATGTTAGATAAAAACAAATCGATAAAGTTAGGTAAAACACTTGTTTGTACTTATCCTAATTTTTTTAAAAGATATTTGTCATTAATATTTAAAACTCTTTAAAAAAAAATAATAATTTGAAAACTTTAATTTACACCATGTTAACAAATTTACCTGAAAAATATTGCTTTAACAAATTAACTTTTGAAAGTTCCGTAGACACATTAAATTTGATTGCAAGCCTCAAATCATTTTATGAAAGATTTTGAGAGCACAGATCTTTAATATATTTTTGATACAAAGCTGTGTTCTCTTCAAGTGCAATGACAATATAACTTAAAATAGTCTCGAAAAATATAAGTTTAAGTTTGAAGTATACTATCGGGTTAATTAAATAAAGAATTGCAATTATAGAGTTCAACTTCGCAGTAAATTAAAAATTGTCACAAATTTGAGCAATAATATAATTTTAAGACATTTCAAAACTTCTAACAGTTCTTTGCATTTAAGATTTTTGCAGAATTGTACTCAAATTCCAATTGTAAAATATATTTGTTAAGAAAAGGTGAATAACTAAACTTTTTCACTCAAGACAAATCTTTATAAAATAAGTATAGATGGCAGCACTAAATTTGTTTAAGCTTACATAATTAAAAAACTTATACAAATGTGAAAGTCAAACTTGTCAAGATATGAAATGTACCTTTTATTTACAAATATGCAATCAAAATTTCTTTAAATTATTAAACGTAAGTTTTCCAGTTCGTTGTTCGTTTAAAAAGTTCTCAAGATGCTTAATAGACAAGACTCTTCTACCTAAACTATCGGAGCTATATTTTCAAGATACACTATTTTTGGGGCAAAAATTCGAATTAGCCAAAAAAAATTGGATTGTTTTTTCGGATTTTTGTCGTCAGCACTTGTTAATAAGCCTAAAGGTTTGATATTCTACTCATCGACTTGAACCATAGTACCATATACCATAGTAATACTTAAAAATCTGAACATTAAATCGAACGTTATTCATGGTTTGAACTTCTTATTTTGCACGCTATATGTACTAATCAAGAGCACAGAACAAAAAATTATTTCTCTGGGTAACTTTTGGCTCTAAAGATCGAATTTTCACAAACCAAACTTAGTGATTAGAAAAAGTTGACCGCAAAATGTCCTCCTCTAAGGGTAAAAGTAGATAATTTAAAAAATAGTTCAACAATTTGTTTGTATGGTCTATGGGCCATTTTCAAGCGATGCATTTAGGTTTAAAGCCAAATCAGAAGCGTAACGTGACTAAATTTTAAATTAATTAAATCGATTATATTACTTAAAATCGATGTAGTTAGTTATACAGATTAACTAGAAATAATTAAAAAATTATTTTAAATTCGATGCTAAATGTATGAATTTATTGCAAAAACATTATGAATCTATACAAAACTGCTGCCCCGTATTGTTTAAAATAACTTTTCTACTCCGGTTTTTTTTACCGGTTAAAATGCTTAGTGCATGCATAATAATATTTGACATACAATTATGAAATGATGTATGTTTGGCGACGGAACCTGACTAAGGCAGGGGCGATTGCCCAGGCCCCCACATCAGAAGGGGTCCCCCAAATCGAATAGAAAATTAATTTTACGCTTTCTTCACGAATAAACTTTTTTAAAACAAAATATCAGCATAGTGTAAAATCCGTTAGTTTTATGTTAGCTTCTTTATTAATCTAGCGTAAGAACGCAATCTATATTTCTTAAATCCATGGCTTTCTAGGGCGGAATTCAGCTACATTTTCGCAATTACGATGGACAAATTTGGCCAAACAAAAGCCTGTATTTTTACATATTGCGAAATGTGATATGTTTACAAAAAATACAGGCTTCTGATTGGCTTCATTGAACCATCGTAATTGCGAAAATTTAGCTGAATTCCGTTCTAATGTCAACGAGGATATGAATTTTTCGCTGCTAGATGATAAAGTTAACAATAAAAAAGCTGCTTTCGGCATAATGGACATAGAATTGTCAGAAAATCAATAAAATGGACAACGATATTTCGTCTGACCATTGGAGGGGGAGGGACTTCATAGCTATTTTAGGTTCTTGTAAGTTTTTTTGTTATCTATAATGAGGTGAAAAATTTAAATACCTTCATAAATTCGGTTCTTCATTACTGAAGTAATGAAGCAGAATGGGCCCCCAAAGAAGTTTTTGCCCCGGGCCCCAATTAGGTTAGGTCGGACCCTGTTTGGCGACCATGTTAGGGTAGTAATAGAAAAAATGCTGCTTTTTCCTGGAAGGGCGGGCAACAACATTGTGATATCGTCTCATGAGATTTCACATGGTTAATTAAAGAAGAAAGCAGCAATGCAACATTAGTATTAATTTTAAAGTAGTTCCGTCATTAATTTTAAAAACATTATTTTCCTTCTAGTAATGTATCATGATTAAATATTCTTTGCTTTGTTCGTGATAAATTATTGATGTAAAGTAAATAGATAATATTTATAGCTAAGAAAACATTACCATTCTTATAATCTTTTCAATTTAAGAAAAAGTAATTAGAAAGTTTAAAGTGAACCATGAAGTGTGTGTATTTTTTTTTGTGTGCAAACTAATGGAAACTAATTACAACAAAAAAAAAATGCAAACTAATTATGGTTAAATTACTTCCTATGTCAATAACATTATTAGGTGGTGCTAAGAAATATAGCATCCTCTTAAAACTAGAAGTCAAAGTTCTACTCCTTTATTTTATTTACTTATTTATTAATTTGTAAATCGTAAACACCGTGTAAGGGTGATGAAGTTCTAAATAATTAAAGATTTAACTTTCAGTTCGTATTGCGCTAATTACACATGAGATGTAATTTAAAATATAAATATATTTTCAATCTTATGAATAATTGAATATCTTTTATGAAATAAACGACAATAACGATCACAAAATATTTTCATTAATAAAAATATAATCTCATTTGTTTTTCACAGCTTTTAAAATATAAATACTTCAAAGAGTTTACAATATTCAATATCGTGTCATTATGTATTTACAACAGTATCATGGAGATTCATTTATATTTATACATTGTAATTAACTGGCCAAAACATATCTCATAAATCATTTATAATCATTTCAAATAGGTTCTTCTTCACCTTTTTGCTTCCGAGAGCCATATCAGTAAATTCAGTAGGTCCCATGGGCTGGTTATAAAGACAAAGAAATATAATATGTAGCAGAAGAGCGATAGTAGTTAGTTTTAGAGTAAATTACGATTTTTTAATCCCTCACACATTGGGATTTTGTTTGATATTTAAACAAAATTATAGTTGAATAGATATGGCTCACTTCTAATAATTTTAATACGTTATCATTTGCAAAAGGTTTACAAAACCTTCATCGGTAATGGTTCAAAAATGGTAGTGAAGACACAGGTTAGACAAAAGAAAGCTATTTTCTGACTGGATCTATTACGATTATTGAAACTGGTTTAAATAATCGTAAACCGAGATAACTATACTATTTTTTTAAAATTATTTTTTCATGAATGAATAATAATAGACACGTTTCTTAAAGTTTTGCAGCGCGTTGAGTCTTTAACATGGCTCGAATCTTCTGCAGTAACCATATTGTACTTCACAAACTTGAATAATCAATATATTATTCATTTTAAATGAATACATAGATAAATTTAACACCTTATTAAGGTTGTAGCAAATTTAAACCGTGATATGATTCAAGGCGCTCTCTTCAAATATTAGAGTTTAACATGGAAGGGATTTTTCAGAAAATATTGTTGCTTACAGAAATTTATCAGGACGCAGAAATAATTCCCGTGTTAAAATGAGGGCAAAAAATCCTGGCATGGTTCATGTTAGCACTTCGTAACAAACTTATCAGAGAATATATTGTTGCATACAGAAATTTATCAGGATACCAAAATAAATCCCATTTTAAAATGCTGGAAAATTTTTTGGCACAGTTCATGTTAGCACGTAGTGACAAATTTATCAGAAAATAAATTGTTGCATACAGAAATTTATCAGGGTACCAAAGTAAATCCCATTTTAAAATGCTGAAAAAAAATTTGGAACAGTTCATGTTAACGTATAGTGACAAATTTATCAAAATATATATTGTTGCATACAGAAATTTATCGGGGCACAGAAATAAATCACGTTTTAAAATGAGGCCAAAATTCCTTGCTCAGTTCATGTTAATACGTAGTAACAAATGTATCGACATATTTCAGTAACCAGAATATGCAAATCAATGTCACATTACAGCACTGTGACTTACACACTTTTTGTAGTAAGTTGAAATAAATAATCCTTAAAACAGCACTGCGTCAACGCAAAAGTGACTCGCCTTACTTTCATGTAAAGGCATCGAGTGACAAAACTGCTTGCGTTTATATGTCATTACTTTGATTTTCCTTCTCTGAGCTCCCTGATTACACTGCGTATGAGTCACGGTGACTTTTATTCATGTACTGAGCAAATGGCAGCTGTTGATTTGCTCATTTTTTCTTTTTTCCGTGGCAACCTTTGACTTGAAAATCAGGCAATCTTGACTAGATCGTTTTTCTTCTCAAGTAAATCATCACGCCAGTGACTATTAAACCAATTAAAATGACCATTGCAAGCGCCATGAGTCCCATGTTTCTAGCCCGCTTCCGACGTTCCATTAAGAGTTGCTTCCTCATAGCTATATCCCATTCCTCCATTTCCCATGGAGTCATGAGCCGATATTTTTCTTTCTGTAAAAATAAATATACATTATATAATCATCTTTTTTTACGTTCAGGATATCAATCAGAACACGATATCAATTAGATATCAATTAGTTAAATTGTGATGCTTAATTCAGAGGTATGCGTATGTATAGAATATCTGGGCTACACGGTTGGAATAGACCAACAACGCATTAATATGAACAAAAACTTTTGAAAATCGAAAAACCAAGAGCTGTACTGGAGACTATTAAAATTGTAAAGCTTGAGGTGATATAATATTAAACCAAATCTACATTTAAGAAAGTATTGGGGAAAATATCACAATTTCTATAAAAGCAATCAAAAATTTCTGTAAAAATCAGGTGTATGCTGTATAGCATAAGGTGGTACTCTATAAAATACATCTACAGAAAGGTGAAAATGGACATTCCATAGAATGCCAAATGACAATCAGACCTAGTACCAATAGATACATGTTTGTTATATACTGTCGGTAACGTAAGTAATAGGTAGTATTTCATTATATTTTCAAAGTAACATTTGTATTTTGGGGGAATGAACGATATTTTTAATAATGAGCCTTTTTTTCCCTACTTTGCTAGGTGAGCATTCTTCATTTTATAAAATTCTTAGATATTATACTGTCTGTCGCGAAATTGATCAATGATTTGAAAAATCAATTTAAAGACTGGCTGAAATCTGTAGTTTTCTGCTTTTTACCTATAAAATTAGACAATTCTCAAAAAGTTTCGAAACAAGGAGTGGCTCACAAATGGCGCGCCTATTTGAAAATAATGTTAAAAAAATACTTTTTTTTCTTATTTCATGCCAGCTCTTTAAATCAAGCATTTGCACAGATGGCTACTAATTTTGTACTCAATCAAATAGTTCCACATTCTGACTGTAAATGGTAGTTATTTTACAAACAGAAAACGTAGCAAGCAATCCATTCTTATCTCCATTAATTTCTTTTCGATTGATTTATCAATGCATCGGTAATTTTTAATCCATAATCTTTTTTCTAGATCGGTTCTTAGAAAATTTCCAAAATTTCTACGAGATTAGAGCTCTATAGACAGGAAATTCATTTTAACTACACATACACTCAACCATAGCCCGTTTTTAGCTGTAGCAGTAATACCAAGTAATTTTGAAACCCGTTCAGTGACTGAACTGGTACTCCTCTCTCTACCTCAGCCAACGAGATTACTTTCAGCCCGACAGATTAAACTAGCACCTTGCTACATATAGACGCCTGTTCGGCAACGTGTGTATGCCAGGATCGAATTCAGAGCCTTCGCCAGGATAGCAAGCGACGCTTTAACCGACGCTACCTCAGCACCCTCATTTTGACAGTTGATCGTTGATATTTATCATCAAAAGAGCGCTCTGAAACAATTTGAAAATGTAACTTATCATTACATTGCCCCAAATCTGTCAAACTTATTTATATGTGTTTGCATACTGTATTTCTTACCAAAACTTTAGTGTCAAGAGGTCTTCCTTTGCTTTTTCCACTTTTCCCGACGCTTTTTTCAGTTTTCTTTTCATCGCTGTTGGTAGTTGTGTCCTCTTTTTTCTCACTTTCTTCGGGAATAGTGGGAGTTGTTGTCAGTGTTCTCTCTGACGATGAAACTTCAGGAATGGTATCGGACTGAAATTTCACTTTTCGACTGATTAAGTCGGGGTGCCTTGTTCGACACGTACACAAATCCTGCAAACAATTGCATGAAAATTATAGTCAAGAAAAATTAACGTATAGTTTTCTTAACAAAATAAAAAGCTAATTTTTTTTAGTGAAGTGAAAAAAACCCAAACAATTGCGTAAAGGAACACTTTTTTTTCAAATTGGAGCCAAATCGAACTTTCATATACAATTTAAAATATGTAATTAAATCTAAAAACTTATAAAGGAATAAATTTACCCCAAGCTCACGGGCATTCACACCATACCGTAAATATTTCCACATCCGAAAATACCAACATCGGTACATTGTCTGTAGATTGTTTACATTTCAATACAAGTAAGCGAAAGTTTGTTGTTGTCTACAATGCAGCCTTTACAGCATACATTTACAGAAATAAAAGTTAACTATTAAAATATGTATGTATCTTTTTAGTAGTGTAATAAGGATATTTGTGTTTTAATTATGCTTTGTAAACTGTATTAAATAATTTTATAAGAAATAATTTCCATCCGCTTCGGCTCTATTTAGCCTAGTTAAAATTCATCTTAATATTCTACCTGTACTACGCGTATGTTTAATTTAAAAACTAATTTTTTCTCACGAATTATTAAAAATGTTAAAAGGACAAAACCTGAAATATGATAAATCGTAGGTTTTACGGGTAAAACATAGCTTTTACCAAAATGGCTTGGTGAAAGTTCGAAGCCTGCTTTAATATGATTCCGTTTCGATCTTTTACCAAATCTTTGTGATAAAACTCAGGAGTTACAAATGATTTATATAAATCCTAGGTATTGAAGACAAAACCTAGAATGTACCAGAATTCCGGCTTTTAAAGCTACATATATATGCATCGTAAATAAATTAACGATTCTTACTTTATATCGTCGAGTAAAAATAACTTTACTGACACTTATGTCTATCTTACTTTATTATGTGTATCTGTTATTATAAATATTTCTGCTAATGAATATCAAAAGTGGCGGCAGTTACTTTGCGCCAAAAGTAGTGTATAAGAACATTCCTAGTGTTTTATTAAACTACTTTGGGTGTAAAGTAGTTGTCAACTTTTTTATTCGGGGGAGGTGGTTGAGATATTATACCTTCGATTTAATTACTATGATTTTAATATACAAAAATTTTAATAGCAATTTTCAAATTTTGATTTTTTTTATTCTCACATGAATTTATTGCTGTTCTTGATTAAATGATTGGTTGTAAGAATCCTCTGTTCAAGAGTCCCAACTCACCAAGCAGTGTAAAATACACCAGGAACTGCCCTTGGTTCTACACAACTTTGGTGTAAATAAGTTGCCACCATTTTTGGTGTCATGATGCGCTAAAATTTCTTGCATTGTGTAATATAAACGTAGTTGTGACTCACACTATTTTTCATTATTCTTCGCAAACCCACTGTGCGTACGAAAAAAAAACGCGAATGGAATGAAATCAAATTGAAATTGGATTATTTAAGATGTAACATCAACTAAGAAGCAGCATCTTCACGTGCGACAGATATTCGTTTTTAAATTACGTTTATGTTCATGAAGTGTTTAGTGTAACTCCATTAAAAGAATGGTATAAATCATTGTTAAATGCACAAAAACAGAAAATATAAATTTTTTTTTCTTCTAAAAAGATGATGTTTACGTTATAAAACCAATTTCAATAGTTCGAAAGGTTAATCTCAAGTATGCGAAACAATCGCATTTAAATATTAATTAAGTTGTGAATCAGGCAAGTATCGAAAACTTACTTTCTCTGAATTAACTTGCGTTTTTTTTTTTTGTTTTTTTTGGATGGATTTAAATTTTCGACTATCAAAATAGAAGGTTCAGACGCAATTTGTTTATTCAGGAGAATCGAAATCTGAGTCCTTTATTGTTAATTCAACTTTTTAATGTCCTTGGTTAGATATCTAAAAATAATTGCGTTATTCAAAACTCCTTAGACTCACTTATGAAACTTGTTTATCCAATTAGATAGTTTCATGAAATAATTTTGAGTAATTTTTATTATTTTATTTCAATCAGAAATTCCGAATCATAAGGCATAAAAATTTTCATATCATTTTAAACTACGGAATTTTAAATGAAAAGTTTCAATGAAATAGGTCAAATAATCCATGAGAAATGAAAAATTAGAAATACAACTTTTATAAAATTTAACTACTCTTTGATTTCGTAATTAAATAATTTAAATCCATGTAAAAAAAAATTTATGCCTTACCATTTAAAACTTTATCTGACGATTATTAAATAAAATGATAAAAAAAATAATTTAGAATTATTAAAAATTATTTTTTCCATGAAACTAACTTCGGGTTGAAGAATTTCAAAAATGGGTGCAGGAAGTTTTTAAATTCCGATGTTAGTTTTGGGAATATGATCGAGATATCTATATATATATTTCTCTTACACGGCACCAAAAAAAACCTCATTACAACTCCCCGAATGGCAACGTTAGAAAATCGACCAATGATTGCTGCTAAAAATGTCACATAGCAAATGCAGATGAGGTGGCTCAACATATAGCACTTTTAAAGACGGAAAAATAACCAGAGTGAGCATTATCACGTTGTTCAATTCAGCTGCGGCAATCTCATACTATTAAGCTAGGCAGAAGTGAGTAATAGATCTCTATTTTAGTATTTTGTCGAAAGCGCTTTTCTGAAGTACTTTGTACAACTAAATAAGATTCTTTTCACAACACTTAAATATTTACTTTATTTTCTTCATTTATAGAGAAAACAGTCGGCAAAGAATTCTGTTAGGTTAAAAAACCTTTCGCTAAAAAAAGAACGAATTCTAAAAGAAATAAAAATAAACAACTTAAAAAATAAAAATGCTGTTGCCAGCCATAGAATTTTTTGAAAGTTAACTTAGCAACATAAATCAAAATGACATAGAAGCGCAACTAGATCAAAATTATGATACCTGAGCGCTTGACGTAACAAATCCTTCAATTCTATAAGTGTTGTATCGCCAAATGCCCAAATTAACAATTGCAATTTCAAATTAATATTGAAATGTACAGGTTTAGAATTTTCTACAGTGAAAAGTTTTCGGAACTTCAGTATTCAAAAAAGTATACATAAGCTAGACGTTAAGAACGTATCCAATTAGCGAGCATAGCGAGCATTGGATTGCGAAGCAATCCGAAATGAACTGCGAAAGCAGTTTCGGGGGTTGGCGAGCTCCAGCGAGTAGGGGGCGAAGCTTCCTAGTCATATATATTTTATTATTGCATTCAAAATGGGTCAGTCATTTAGCGGATACAGCTAAAGCTCGTAAGCCGTCAATAAAAATATTTTACTAATTAATAAAAATATTAACAATAGCAATCCGCCGGAGTGTTCCATTGCAAGTCGAAATCCGTAATTAACCCAGGATTTATCGTTTTTTATGGGAATACAAAAGAAACACAATTTGAAGAGGCAAGAAGGAGAATATTAGAACTTGCATTTTTAAAATTATTTTGTGAAATTTTTCCTGAAGTAAAATTTGTAAAGGTACCGCTAAACGAGATTTTAAACCAGGGGTGTCAAACTCAAAAGCTAACTTGGGCCAAATAAACAATGCTTAACTTTAGGTGGGCCGCAAAAAAACAATCAATGCTCATAGAAACAAATATTTTTATTTTGAATTGTAATAAACACATATAAAGTTAAATTATTGTTTACGTCCTGATACTTGACATCTCTTCTCTGCTATTATCTTTTCTATTTCGGGAGAAATTTTATTGGCCCAGACTACTTTCAAAATTGACCCAACGTGAGCGTTATTAATACGGTTTCGGACAAGAGATTTATTTCCATTCATAACAGGAAATAATTGCTCTCACTGATAAGTACTTCCAAACTTGGAAATAATTTCATACTCGAATTTTCGATTATTTTCAAACCTTGCTGGTAAATATTCGTGAAATTTAGGCACACCCACTTCAACGAATTTTGCCTTCAAATTTGAGTCGCACTGAATCTCAATCACTTCCATTTGCATATAACTGGGTACTGCGTCTATATTTATTGAGAAAATTGAAGAAAACAAACAAAATTTGTCTTCCAAAGAATTAAAATCTTTAAACCTTGTTTCAAACTCTGTTCTAAGATTTGAAATTTTTTTCTGCATATTTTTGATATGATGCAGTATCATCTAAACTAGATTTGTTCTTGTTGCACGTTGGGCATTGCGTTAAATCTTCATTTTTCAGTTGCCTTTCCCAAAGAAATAGTTTACATTTGAATGCTTTTTTAATTATGTCAAACATGTTCGTAATGATCTGATGCTTGCCTTGTAACAATAAATTTAAATCGGATAAGTATTTGGTTATATCAACCATAAAAGATAAATCGTGCAACCATATTTGATCGGAGAACAAGCTTGTATCTTGATTTATAGTTTGTAAAAACTTACATATTTTTTCTTTCAAATCCCAGAATTGATTGAGAACATTGGAGCAAGATAATCAACTTACCTCGCTATAATAGGATAAACCTGATTATGTACTAATTGATAGCATAGTGTGAAACGGACTCCATTTCAGCAAATTAGAATTTTACATTTTCGAGCGGACAATTTAAAATGATCCGTATAGTTTATAAATAAAGTATATTATAATTTTATAAGCTGGTTTCGTTTCTAATTCACATTTCTATTTTATTTTTACTCTGCTTCGAGATACGAAAATGTTCATCTCGGGCCGCATGCGGCCCGCGGGCCGCGAGTTTGACACCCCTGTTTTAAACTCTCATTAGAGTTTTTAGCACTAGAAAGACTGTAACTTAGTATATACCTATATTGCCCAAAGGCAGTCAAAATGACTGCATTGTGAAGGAATAATGTGTAAAGAAATTAGTTTAAAATGAACTTTTTATATTATTTATAGTTATATAACAAGTTATTAGTAAGTATTAACAATAACCAAAATTATATGTTGTACAAAAAGTCACAAAATTCTAAGAAATTGTGTCATTATATACATCATTGTTTTTCTAATTGAAATTAAAAAGTAGTCAAAATTACCTCCTTGAGCAATCTAGTGTTAAAGTGATTGGTGATTGATATTATCTACTAATGTTTGATTATAGTCACTTGATTGTTTGAATGTAGTCCCTTGGATCTTTTCGAGAGTGAAAAATAAATCAATAACATTAAGTTAAGCGTACAAAACCGTAGCTGTTGTTCCAGCAAAAATCTTATTTTCACTTTTACGAGTGCGTAATGTGCAGATTACAAAGCTATATATAGCTTGATTTGTTGTATATGGACAAAGGAACAAATGCCCACTGAGTGGGATGAAGGATCTATTTGCCCTATATACAAGAAAAGTGATAAACTCGAATGTGGAAACTACAGGGGAATTACCCTTCTAAATATTGCGTACAAGATCTTCTCCATTATTTTATGAAAGCGATTGGAGACCACCTACACCTCAGGAATCATTGGAAATTACCAATGCGGATTCCAGAAAGGAAAAACAACGACTGACCAATTGCATACTATCAGGCAGATCTTGGAGAAAACCAAAGAGTATAACATTGACACATACCACTTATTTATTGACCTTAAAGCTGCCTACGACAGCATCAACCGAGGAAAACTACTTGAGGCTATGTTCGAGTTTAACATCCCAAAGAAGCTAATCAGCCTCACAAGAATGACACTCAAAAGAGTTTCGTGCAGAATAAAAATCTCGTCAAGTCTCTCTGAACCATTCTTCACCGAAAAAGGCCTGAGACAGGGTGATTCCCTTTCTTGCCTGCTATTTAACATAGCTTTGGAAAAGGCCATTAGAGACTCTGGTATCAACACAAATGGAACAATCCTACAAAGAACTGTCCAACTACTCGCTTTTGCTGATGATATCGACATAGTTGGAAGAACAAAACGCTCAGTCATTGACGCTTTTGTAGCGCTTGAGAGGGCGGCGAAGGAGATGGGACTAGTTATAAATGCAGACAAAACTAAGTTTTTGATCGCAACAAATAAAACTCCTGATCGATCTCCTCTGAAGATAATGACTTACTCTTTTGAAACTGTTAACCAGTTCAAGTACTTGGGAACCTTGATCTCTAGCCACAACAACCTGAAAATCGAAATAAATAACAGAATTTCCATGGCTAACAGAAGTTTCTACGGCCTCAGAAACCAACTGAAATCCAAGTTCATCAGTGTGAAGACAAAGTTAACCATCTACAAAACTTTAATCAGACCTATAGTTACGTATGGAAGTGAGTGCTGGACCCTAAACAAAACAGAGGAGGAAAAACTGCTAATTTTTATAAGAAAAATTTTGAGAAAAATCTTTGAATATCTTCAAGAGAATAACGTAAGGAGAATTCTTCACAACCACGAAATTTACAAAAAATATGACAAATTCGGTGGGACCGACATTGTGAGAACTATTAAAGCATCGCGCATTAGGTGGCTGGGCCACCTCTTCAGAAATTCTGATGCCGTCCCTGCCAAAAAAGTGACTTTTTCCACAATTGAAGGGACGAGGCGTAGGGGACGACCTCCTACAAGATGGATAGACGACGTTGAAAAGGACCTCAAGCTATTGGGACTCAACCGATGGCGGGCCGTCGCACCGGACAGGGCCAGATGGAGGAAAATCTGCGAGTCAGCCTTGGCCTGTGAAAGGCTATTGAGCTTATGAAGAAGAAGAAGAATGTGCAGATTATCTAGTTAATTTCATAAAGGAAGCATTCTTTTTGACTTTTCAATGGATCACCTTAGCTAATCTGTACATTAACTAGATTATCTATAGAATAAATGATTTTCTATAGACTATTTGATTTATTTAAAATTTGAGTTCTCAGAAGTCAATTTCATTCAAATTTTCTACCTTACCTTGCCATGTGAAATTACATTATTTAAAATGATGTACAAAAAATATATATACCCTATTACAATTTCAAATTTTTTTCAGCTATTATTAGTTAAATTAATAAAATAAAATAAATATTTCCTAAGAAATATTTTTTGCATAGCATTAACTTTGGATAAACGAATTTTATAATTGTGTGCAAAAAATTTTACGATTCGTTTTTAAAGTTTGCGAGATATAGCGAAATACGCTACAAGTAAAATTAACATTAATGGGTTCAAACTTTGAATCGCAATCCTGACCAAACTGTGAGAGCCATATTTCCCACATTGCGGCTACCCTCCATATTTTGGGGATCAGAAAATCGAATCCGTTGAAAAAAAGGTATGTTTATTCAGAGAAGATATGTTTTTGTGTCTTATTTCGTAACTTAAAATATCATGTGCAGTAATTAATTAGCATATTTGAGGTTAACTTCGCGAACCATTAAGATTGAGTCCTAGAATGTTGAGATCCGATCATTAGATCAAAAATTATTCAGGGTGAACCGTTAATTACTTAGCGCACTGTACTACTTACCTCTCTGTGTGAATATCCTCTTAGTGATGACCTACCGTAAGCATAATATTTTACTAGATGCAGCCAACACTCGTCACAAGAACACATGGGTGCCCCGAACAAAGAACCCTCATCTGACGAGGAACGGCGTAGAGCATGTGGTCTCTGGAGGTAACCACTTTCAGGTTTATTGCGTTGAGAATGACCTGATCTGACTGAAGGGGTATCAGAACGTAAAGTCGTTCTTCGACTGCGAAGTTTACGAATAAGTTCTCTTTCCTCCCAAGACAAATCAGATCCCCAGCTCTCCGAATGCTTTCTTCCACGATTCCTTTGCGCACCTATAAAATTATCGTAATAGTCATCACATTTTCCACGCTTCAGAGGTATGTCACCAGCGAACGACCGTCTGCAGTGTTTGCAACCTCTAGTTCGATGGTGCGAAATCTTTCTTTCCCTCTTACTTTTTTTGGTGGAGTTGGAGGGCAATGATTCTTTATCGCTGTGTGGCTGAGATTCGGGATTGTTTTCTTGAGTGGCTTCGGAAGATATTTGATCGCCACGAGTTATCCCACTGTCTTCAGAATGGGATTTGGCTGATTTGGCTTCCATCTGAGACGCAACCGCTTCCTGAGGTTTCTTGCCAAAGCCGATTGGCGTCTCATTTGGCGTCGGACTAGATTTAGGTGCACCACTTTCTTTACGATAACTAGGGAATCGTTTTGGTAGCTGTGCTGACTGCTGCGGGGTTGCAGATGACTGCTGTGTGATTGCGGAGGACTGCTGCTTGACTGAAGTTGAATGCTGTGAGGATGTACTAGGAAGAACATCATCAAATTGTTTTTCAGTTTTAATTTGTTTTACCGCAATTATATTTTCTAAATTCTTTTTCTCTTTCGATGTTGAATCAGAGCGAGTAACTTTTTGAACTATTTTAGTAGCTAGTGATTCATTTGTCAATTTTGAAATCGCAACAGAGTCGTTATCTGACTTGTTTTCAATTATATCTTCTAAAATATTTTTTTCTTTTGGTGTTGACTCAGCACGTGTCAATTTTTGAGAAGTTTGAGCTGTATTAACAAATGATTCATTTGGTAACCTCGATAGCACAACCGATTCATTGTTCTGTGATTTACTTTCAGCTTTTTCTTCAGGTTTTCGGACGGGAATAATTTCCTTTTTTATGCCTGATTTTTCTACATTACTTATTTCTGAGGACACTGTTTTATTACGATCAAGACTTGAATCAGATCTGGTCTGTGCGTGTTTGAAGGGACCAGAATTTTTCGCCGCATCTGTTACTGATGCCAAGAAACTTTTGTTTGGCTTTAAAGGAACTGATGTGTTTACTACAGTTTTCACAGGTTCTATAGGAGGGGGAGGTGGGAAATTAAATATTTTAGAAAGTGCTTCTTTTTCTGGCTTAAATGCCTCAGTTTTACTAGCATTTACAACTTTTTTAATATCAATTTTCTTCTCGTTCAAGATTAGCGGATTCTGAGCATTTTGCTCAATATTTTCTGACGAACTCTGAAACTTTTTTATCAATTCAGCAATGACAGGTAATTTATCTACTGATCTCTCCACTTTTTCCACTGAACTGGATGGTTTAGGTACATTCAGTTTAGATGATGGTGTAATAACAGGTGGTTCTGGTACTTTGATAATCATGTCTGATGGCAATTCATCAACGCTATTGATTACTTCAATATCTAGTTGTTCTTCACCTTGTTCCTTTGTTGAATCAGTTTTTCCTTCACTACTGGATTTTTCTAATGATTCAAGTGGATCCTGTAATACTTTTGTATCAAATTTTACTACCCGGGTAAGATTTGAGACTGCTTTGCTATGCAAATAGGAATTATTTCCTTTAGTTCGTTCAGATATAAGTTTGCCTACATCGTTCTTAACATTAGAGTCGGGAACTACATCTGATTGCTTTACTTCGGTATCAACACTCTCTTCCTTATTATTTGGTTTTGAAAACCCTTGGGGAAAATCTTCGGTGCTTATGTCTATAAGGTTTCCATTTGTGGCAACACTGTCGTGTGATTCTAGATCTGAAGCGAAGGAGTCGATAACAGCTGAGAGCTGTCCCAGTGCTTCAGATGTTGTGGCAGATTCGTTATCCTCGAAGATTGGATTGACTGTTGATGTTTCTTCAAAGTGCACCTCAGTCTCTTCGGGTAAAAGAGTTGGCTTCTTCCGATGAGCCTTCCAGTGAGTAATCAGCTGTTTCAACATTCCTCTTCCCTGTAAATAAAGAAAAATATTAAAGATATTTTTTCATAAGCTTATGACAAATAATTGTTTCCATGACTATTCAGAGAAACCCACTCAAAACCAAATATAGAAAAGTTATAGAATGAAGAATTTCTTATAACCGTCGTTGAACAGCCGACCCAATCTTTTGGGTATGCGACTACTAATGTTCAACTCCACAGCATTGTAATTTTGAACCCAATCCAGAAGACGACGAAACTCCTGCATGAAGTATTGGGAGAAAATCGACTTCGTGGAGGATAAAACTAACCCACACTTGCGCTACATTGAGAAGAAAGTCACGAAAACCTCCCACGGTTAGCCTTTCGGCAAGGGAACTCTAACCAATGATCCATCTACCGCTGAGAATATTTGACGTATTGAGCAGACTCAGGGTTTTGAGCATTCTCCACCCAACGTGATGATTCAGGTTCGAATCCCAGTGATGGCTTGTCGATTTGAACTTTCCCTACTCGCATCAACCACAATGATGACATAAAAATATTTTTAGTGGTAGGAGGATGGATTATAATCTTTATACCGTCGGGCTAATCGTGGGAGGTGTAGATGATTTTCTTCATCCATGTAACCCAGATGCAGGCTATCTCCATCAAAAAGTCCTCCACAAAGGCTAGTTTAACTCCAGGATTTCCGTTATCTGCTGGGTTGAGTTCAAAATTACGACACCACGTAGTTGGACTTTGATAATAGTAAGACTGAATTTCGGTTGGCTGTTCAACGTCATATTAAAATAAAATAAAATTTTTGATATCAATTCCAAACACCCATTCACAGAAAAAAGGAAACTCACTGGGTTGGATACGTATGAAAAACTATGGTTATCGATATGAATTTCTTTCATTGAAAGAAATAAAAAAGAATATTCATGAAAACTTACACTTCACCCATTTAGTGGCAGATTGTTCAGACTAGTGGTATAAAAATCTCGTGAACAAGAGTCAATGAAATCCTTGGAAGACCTATCAATGAATCCTTTTCGAAATTCAATTATTTTCTAATTAAAACATTTTCTAATTTTAGAAACAGGTGGAAATCAGTGGAGACTAGTGAGAATCTAGGATGATGATGAAATTCCAATTCCTCTAGCTTTGCCATAGTCATGTGTGTAGTGTGTGGTTTGATGATGCCGTGGCATAATACAAGAGACAATCTCTTTACCACTCTAGGCAAATTTTTCTTAAGATTTTGATGCATTTTGTCTAGTTAGTTGCAGCATATTTCTTTTGTGACCCATGAACCAGGTTTCATTGAATCATAATGGATCACCCCTGTGTTGGAGCACCAAACACTCACTATCAACTTTTTTATGAATGGAGTACTATCACTTTGGAGTATGCTCTGGTGATTCATCCTTGTTTTTAGCTAACACTAGAACCCAATACATTTTTAATATTTCACGTGGTCTCCGATGTCGTAGTTCCACGTAAGAACTGTTTGCTGTGTTATAGTTTCTAATAACACTTGGGTTGGCCAGACTCGGCACTCATTGGCCCTTGGAAAAAAAAGCACCACAAAGGTAAAATTACATCTTAGCTCAGAACCCCACGGATAGGTGGCAGCACAACTCATTCGTAAGCCGATTTCTCATTTTAGACATAGATCTGAAGGGGAAGAAAATTTTATCCGGATCCTTATACCCGTGGTACTGCTGAGCAACCGGCTACAGGACTTTCGATTCCGCGGATTTTACGAACACGCATGCACGGTCTTAACGGAGGTGAGAATGGAATTCCGGTCCCTCCGACCACATTTTGATTTTCTAACCACTGGACTACCACACTACCGTAAGAACTCCTTCATAATAATACGAATTTGCGATTGCTATCTTCTCAATTAAAATAAATTTTAACAAAAACATTATTAGAACCTATGATAATTTCTTAAAGCAGGTAAGACATGTAATATTTTAACAAAAAAATTGCAAAATATTAAGCCAAAGTCAAATATAAACGTAAGTGAAATAAAAAATTATACATAATTAAACATTAGTCAAATCAATAAGTCAAATTAGCGTCAAACAATAAATTAAACGTAAGTCAAATCAAAAATTGGATATATAGTAATCCCTGTTTCTAAGTTCTTGTAAAGACTAAGCTCAATAGTGCAACAGACCAAGGAGGGTCAAGGTCTACTGTGTCCATCGTAGTTTATTTGATCTTGTTATCAGGGATGTCAGAGAAAATGTTCCAGCTAGATGGTCAGTCAAACACGGAACCCCCAGTGTTTAGTCCCCAAGAATGCTTGGTACTTATTTCATTAACCCATTGAAAGAATAAATTAGACGTATCCAACAAAGAAATTTCACTGTTGACAATATGATATATCTTGCCTTATTTCTATATCGTCTTTAAGCTCTCCATAGGTCAATAAGTTCAAAAAAAAATGAAGAATAGCTTTCATAACATAAAAATTTAAAACTTTTGTACTGAGTATTACAGCACAACACGCTAGTAACATAATTTATTTCCGATTCATAAGCAAACGGTCATCGCTTACCACAAATTATCATAAAAGAAGTAGAAAGAAAAGGTGTTTCGGAAAAGAGGATAATAATGAGCAAAACCTTGACCGACATATTATCAATTCAGTATTTAGAAAAGCTTATAAAAAAAGGCTTAAAAATCTTTCTAAATCACAAGTCGTCACTGTAACCTTGTCTGCTTCTCAGAAAAATTATTTAAAAAAAATAGTGAATCTTTTTAATTAAAATTAACTTTAGTGTGGTGCAAGTTTTTTATTATTTACTAAAAGCTTTGAATCGGCAGATTATTTTAAGCCCCTCCCCAATTCTAATCAACAAAACTCAATCCCTTTTCTCTTATGTTTTCGTTATAACTGACCTACAAATCGTCGATGAGCTTTGCATTTACAACCTGTATTAAAATGCGTGTTAAAAGGACATACATAGCTTAAAATGTGTACTGAAGAAAATTGACTTAGCTTAAAAAATGCGTACTTAAAAAAGTGTGTATTAAAAAATATACGTTGTTTAAAATACGTATTTAAGAAAGTAGAAACAGATCGAATTCCTATTTGAGAAAATGGACAAGGCTAAAAGTGCATATTTAAGAAGATGGACATAGATCAAAATGCGTAGTTTCAAGAAAAATATATACATTTCTCAAAATACGGATTTAGGAAAATTGACACAAATCGAAATGCCTATTTGAAAAAATGGGCATAGATAAAAATCCGTATTTGAGAAAATGGACATAGCTCAAAATGCGCATGTAAGAAAATATACGTTGTTCAAAATGCGTATTTAAGAAGATAAACACTGCTTAAAATGTGTGTTTAAGAAAATATACATTGTTCAAAATACGTATTTAAGAAGATAGACGCTGCTTAAAATGCGTATTTAAGAAAATGTACGTTGCTCAAAATGCGTATTTAAGAAAATAGACACTGCTTAAAATGTGTATTTAAGAAATATACGTTGTTCAAAATAAGTATTTAAGGATAGACACTGCTTAAAATGTGTATTTAAGAAAATATACGTTGCTCAAAATGCGTATTTAACACTAGATTGCCTAAGGAAGTCATCTTGATTGCCTTTTATTTCAATTAGAAAAACAATTATGTATATAATGACCCAATTTCTCAGAATTTTGTGACTTTTTGTACAACATATTATTTTTTTTTATTGTTAATATTTACTAATAACTTGTCATATACCTGTAAATAATATAAAAAATATCAAAAATTAATTTAAAAATTTTTTTTTTACACATTAGTTACTCTTTNTTAGAATTTTGTGACTTTTTGTACAACATATTATTTTTTTTATTGTTAATATTTACTAATAACTTGTCATATAATTGTAAATAATATAAAAAATATCAAAAATTAATTTAAATTTTTTTTTTTTTTACACATTAGTTACTCTTTCACAATCCAGCCATTTTGGCTGCTTTTGGGCAATATAGGTATATACTAAGTTTCTATCTTTTTAGTGTTAAGGAAATGGACACAAATCGAAATGCGTATTTAAAAAAATAAACATAGCTAAAAAGCGTATTTTAAAATAGACATAGTTAAAAATTCCTATTTAAGAAAATGGTCGACGACAAAAAAAAAATGCCACTTTTCGAAGTTAAAACTCAAATCTGAACTATTTAACCTGGAATTTCGTTTACTTTCTTAAACACTCTATAAGCATAATCATTACGGAACTAAGTACTCGATCACTGTCTGGTGTTGGTGTGGCTAAGTATATTACAAATATAACTTTTCAGATGATAACTTCGTATTCAGATCTCCTAGCGATAATTGGCATTTTTAAAAAAAAATTCTACAAGTATATTTACAACAACTTAATACTACAACCCAAAGAAAGTTAGTCTCCCATTTCCAGGAAGGGAATGGAATGATTTAATAGACCAAACCAATTTTTCTTGAAGGAAATGGAATGTCTCATCAGAGAATATACTAAAACAAAATTAATCTAAGATTTTAATTAACATAAAGGAATGATTTAATGGACTGAGACGAAGTTAGTCTCATATTTCCGTGTAAGTAAGTAATGATTTTATTCATTACATTACGTTATTAATGACAATGATAAATATTTATAAATGATTCAATAAATTATTTATCAGAGAGAGATTTAAATGCTCGGTTGAAAATCAAGAACACCTCTCACAGATGGAAGTGAGACAAACTCAAACCTATGATAAATCAATACTCTTGGAGTCCGAAGGATAATAATTTAATTGGATTTATAAATAATTTAATAAATTATTAATCAGAAATTAAATTATTAGGCTTTATAAATAATTTAATGAATTATTTATCAGAGAGAGGTTTAAATGTTCCGTCTAAAGTTACTCCGTTGGATAAGTGTACGAATTAAAAAACATAATTATTATTCTTACAAAATTGCTTTAAATTAGCAAATTTAAAGTCACATAAAATAAAACAAAACTGGAAGAAAGTAATAATGAGGCAGCTTACATATTAACAATTCTGTTGCAAGCTGTAAATTACTGCCCCTACTTCACAGAATGAATTATCTGTCCTACTGATTATTTGTTTCGAGTTATTCATTCTGTAAATAACAACAACACGCCACGATTTGTCCATTTTTGTATGACCTGCCTAGTGCTACAATATGTAAGAACATACAAAAGTTATAAAACTAATGATTCTGAACGATTTAAATTTCGACTGTTATTTAATAACTATTTCGTAAAAAATACGTGTTACTTTCAGAACAGTTCCAAACAAGGTAAGCGTTCTAAAATATCCATTATGTTAAATATCCATCACTTTTCATAACGACTGTCACTATTAACTACTCAGCCGGCCACGTGTTTAGCATGCCTTCTTTTCACATATTTAAATACCCGTTACACCTTAAATCATCTACTCTTCGTTATTTTTCCTTTCTTTCAGAGAAAGTAACTTCATTGACCTAGTTTCGATCCTGTTTTTTATTTTTCTTTATATAAACAAGGACGCACCCGTCCCCCCTCCTCGGTTGATATAATAAGACAGAGCAACCGGTTTCAAACTATGATTATGTCGACAGTGATAAAGGTCGGTTTCTAATAAGTCTTTTACGTAACTGGTAAAAGATGCTGTTACCGACATTTGTATTGAAATCGACCGCAACACTCAGCTGGATTAACGAGTAAATATAATTGACATAAATGTGACCATGTGGTTAATTGAGTTCATAAATTCTGAGTGGTCCATCTTTTTTAAATGATTCTGCTTCAGTAATTTTAATTAAATTGACCTAAGGATAGCACTAGGAAACATTTTTTTCCGGTTGCATAAGTTTTTAATAATTTTTTTTTAACACATCATAAAATTTTCCGCTGATTTCAAATCTGCAATACGTTTCTCTCTCCAAGTTACAGATTTTTTAAATAATAGGACATGAGCCGCGATGGCTCAGGGGATAGAGAGTTCGCCTTCCAATGCGGTGAACCGGGTTCGAATTCCAGTCGATACGAATGCGACATCCAGCTTGCACCGACCACAGAGCTGACGTGAAATATCCTCAGTGGTTGACGGATGATGGGTTAGTGTCCCTTGCCGTCAGGCTAACCGTGGGAGGTTCTCGTGGTCTTCCTTTCCATGTAACGCGAATGCGGGTTAGCTCCATCAAAAAGTCCTCCGCGAAAGCAAACTTCTCCCAATACTCGATCCAGGAGTTCCCTTGTCTTCTGGATTGGGCTAAAAATTACAAGGCTACGGAGTTCATTAGTTGTCGTAAACCCATAAAATTGGGTCGGCCGTTCAGCGACGGTTACAAAAAAAAAATAATATGACATTTTTAGTCTATTTTTTGTCGAAATGTACAATTTTCAAAGCGTTATATGTAACAGTAAGTCGTATAAATGTTGCAACAAACTTCTAGGGGAGTTAAGGTACATCATCAAGAATTAAAATTGCTTAGAAACCCATGCCCGGAAATGACGTTATACGTCGTTAAGGGAGCTTCCCTATTATGAACTGCTTCTTCGTGTGCTTCTAAACAGGTCATAATAGGGGAAACACCCCTAGCCGCGTACTACGACTTTTCCAGGCATGCGTTCCTGTGTGATTTTAATCCTGATAAGGTGTACTAACTCTCCTAGAAATTTCTTAACTACTTTTACAGTCCACACTTTTATACCTAGAACTTTTACGTGAAGACCTATAATATATGTCTTTAAACTTGTACATTTCGACAAAAAGTAGACTAAAAATACCATAATTTAAAAAAAATCTGTAGCTTTAGAAGTAAAACTAATTTCAGATTTGAAATCCCTACACCAGAATTAGTTCATATCAAGTATTTGTATAAAAGCTACAAAAAATTTGCTTCACAGTGTAATTTATGAAATTTTTTTTTGTGTGTGTTTGTTTGAGATACAAAGAAATAGCCATAATAATTTTTTTAAGTTAATAATCACGCGACAAACAATGTATAATAGTTTTTCCAAATTGCTTTTTAGTTTTTATTTTGGTGCAGATTATATCTTATTATATCTTCGATATCTTATCATATCTTATTACGGATATCTTCGATAAGATTAGATATTTATATTAATTTTATCGTTTTACCCAATTAGAAGAACTAATAAATGAAAAATATTCAACAAGTGGTGAGGGAGAGAAATTAGGTTGGGAAGCACTGTAGCATGTTACAACAAAAGTACAACCATTCCTTATTCTTTTTAACCATTTTAACGAAAAATTCATATTTTATTCTGTACCCTTATCACTTTCATCTCTCATTGTTATAAAATAAGTTATCGCGATGCTTACAAATTTGGCTTCTTGAGAATTTTTATTATCTTTCTATAGAGCCATTTTAAAAATCTCCGGTTACAGTTAATTTAACGTCAGATAAGCATCATATATTTCTAAACTATCTTTATTTCTAATCTGCGCATACAATACCGAAGCTCCCACATTTGGTCCTATTACGTTATTGAAAGAACCGAAAAAGGAATAACAGGTTTTAGTCTAGTTTCAGATACTTGCTATCTCAATTGAATATCTTAAAAACGATATTATAAGTTTATTTACAATTGCTCGTCACTGAAAGCGGAAGTCAACCATAATTCTTTTTTTTTTTAAATAATTTATTAAATTATTCATTTTCTTCTTCTCCCCAACTACTTTTATTCTTGATTTGAAAAACAACGCACCTAGCAATCATTTCGAAAATTCTCGAGCAGACATTTAATTATTCTATTAATCTCAATCAGTGTTAGTAATTTATACAGAACATACAGACAATTGCATGCGTATTAATGGAGAAAATGGGGAGTGGCTGTACAGGATGGCAACTAAACACTGTAACACTACAAATTAGGAATTAATATTAATCGTTTGATAAGATAAAGGCTCTCTCACGATTCCAGTGCAGACGATTACACTTTCTATAAGTGCAGACGATTTTTGTTTAAAGCAAAATATTTAGAATCAGCTTAAAGGTGACATCGAAAAGGTTGATGGTTAAACGGCTGAACTAAAGTAAATTTCCATTTATAGTGTTCGTCATATTTGTGTATTTATTATTTCTATTTAACTTCTGCACGATAAAATAATTCGATATTTGTAACAATATTTTATAGCCACCCTGTAATGCACTGAGGTGATAAAGTCATGGAATTCCTCTTAATATCGTGTCGGACTTCTTCAAGCTCTTCAAGGTGCAGCAAATCGACGTGGCATGAACTCAACAAGTAGTTGAAATTCTTTTGCAGGAATATCCAGCCATTTGGACTCAAAAGTCCACAATTGCGAATACAGGATTTTGTGCACGAACTGACCTCTCGACTATATCCCATAAATGTTCGATGGAATTCATGTCGGGTGACTTTTGTCATTTCTGTACTTCAGTGTTTTTTTTTTTTAATCTATTTTTTTTCTGTAAACAAAAATTCCTCAATAATGTAAATTAGTAATTTGTAGTTTTAATTATCCAACATGAAAAACAACTTGTAATAGACTTAAAGATTTTTAATTTAACAAAAAAATCACACAAGAATTCGAAATATTTTATTCAAAAGTTAAAGTTTTGAGACAGTATAACACAGTTCATGTTTTTAATGCTTAGCTTAAATATATGTTATAATTTATCACACAATAATACTCCTGTAGCTTAGCAATTAGTGTAAACGAATTTCACAGAGAATATATAGGAGTGAATCTAGTTCCTGCCTTTTAATTAATCCTTTCTTATTTTTTCTATTGAAGCAGTATGCTAATGGTTTTATTCATTCGATAAATTTGCGCATATACTAAATTAGCTTTACATATTCTTACGTTCCTTGAATATCCTACAGACACTATGCGACGCTTCGTGTATATAAAGCTGGAAAATCAATCAGCTAGATTTATGTGTACAAAACAAACTTACAGCAGCGTCGCTGTGTGCGAAACTCATTTGCTTAATCCTTAAAGAATTATAACTCTATTTCTCAAGTGAAAATATTGGTGTTTATTTTATCAGTTTCAGTATCAAAACAGGAAATAACGCACCTGTGGCTACTCGTCTTTTGATTATTAAAGAATCTAAGAAAAAAGTCTCACATTCTGCTATCGTCAGAAATTTTAGAATTCTAAAATCAACTGTTGGCCACATAGTAAAGAAATGGAGGGAAGGAAAAAGTGTGCTCGATCTTCCAAGGTGAGGAGCCTCTCCCTTCTCCCAATACGTCAAGATGTGTTAATCCGAAGAAAGTCTACACAAGAACACCTATCAAATATGCAAGGCGATGGCCACCGAACAAGGACTCTAAGTGGGTAAACCCACCGTCTGAATGCAGCTGAATTGTGTGCACGAGTTCCTGTAAAATAACTTCTCACCCGGACAAAGTGTAGGATGATCTGATTAAAATTTCCAAAGGATCGCGAAGCATAAAAAACAAGAAGGTCCTTTGAGGTGATGAATTCAAATTTGTTTGGAAAAGATGACTGACATTTAATTTGTGTATTGTTTAACATTATGTATTCTAAGTATGTGTATATAGTTTATCATTATCGCGAAGCATAAAAAACGAGGTCCTTTGGAACAATGAATCCAAATTTAATTTGTTTGGAAGTGATGACCGGCGTTTAATTTGTATATAGTTTAACATTATTTATTCTAAGTATGTAGTTTAATATTGTGCCAACCGCGATCCAGCCGCCCCTTCATCCTAACGCACAGAATCGAAATTTTCCTTCATTAAAAAATAATAAATTGTTGCTGATGGCTCTCATCAAATGAATTTTCAATTTATCTGAATAGAACATTTACCAGGTGATCATTGTTTTAGCTACTCCCAGATGCAAGCAAAAAGAGTGGCTTCCATCCATTTTTTTCGCATTAAAAATTTCAAAAAAATTTTTAAAAAATCAAGAAAAATACGTATAAGAATACATAATGTTAAACTATATACAAATTAAACGTCGGCCATCACTTCCAAACAAATTAAATTTGGATTCATCATTCCAAAGGACCTTTTTGTTTTTTATGCTTCACGATAATGCTAAACTACATACAAATACTTAGAATAGATAACTCATTCGATAGATTTTTTAGAATAGATTTTTTGTATTATGAACATTTAGGAGATATTCTAGGATATTAAGGTGAATAATTTATTTGAAAGCTATAATATCAAAATTACATGGTGTAAATTTTTTTAGATACTCAAGAAATTTAACAAAGTGTGATGAAAGTTGTAAGCTTCTCGTACTCTTACAGATCTTGGACTTATTTACTTAATTAATTTAATTAGCAGACTATTTCATTATGTTTTCTGCATGTATATATAACATGTAAACTTAAATCAATGATTGTTCTTATAAATATTTAGTATTATACTAACAATTTTAATTGAAATTCAAAAACACATTTGGACTATGGACGCAACCCGAATGATATATAAGAAAAACCTATGACAAAATATTGCAATTATCGGTATTTCGTAAGAAATAAGGAGAGACGTCAAGAAACTTTGAATTACA